GATGATACAATAATTATAAATGTTAATATACCATAAAACGAAACCACTAAGGACATGACATAAAACCCACAAAACTAAACAGGAAACTCAAAAAAATCCACAAGTAACATCAAACAATTAATTTTCCTTTTATAGTAAGTAATAAAACAAACCAATGAAAACCAGTCAAATCTAAACATGAATGACAGTATATTGACCTAATTAATACCTATATGCTACTCTTTGGAACATTTACAAAGAACAGACGCTGAGTTATAAATGAAAACTAAAATCATAAAGTGTTCTGAGTTGATCACATGGAATTAAATTAGAAACCATGAAGGAAAAAGAAATACAGACTGTCCAGTATCTCACGCTGACTGTTGATGAGCAGCTTAATATGTTATCCCTCTTAGTATTTTTTTTGTTTGTTCTACTTAATACTTTTGGTTGAATACTGTAATCAATACACAATTCTTCTTAAGTGCTGAAACTTAACTGAAAAGTGAGCTGTTAAATATAAGAGTGGAATAAGAGAGGGAAGAGATGTGCAATTCGGGACATGCTCAAGATGACTTACCTCAAACAGTAGAGTTAGAAACATACCAGGGGATTCGAATTCAATCCCATCGAGGTGGCATGTACCAATGCCATCTCACTAGTCCCAGTGATCAATTTCTGTTCACAATTGATCATAATGATAGGACCAAGAACCAAAGGGATCACATAAACAAGAATAGTGTCTGCAAATACTAGCTGATAGAATCAAAAAGGGAGAGAATGATCCAATATGGGAAGTGAGATACACAGCAGACCCTTAGAATGGCAAATGTCCTAATAGCACTCTGGCCTCAGAATCAGCCCTTAAGGCATGCGGCTCTGGCTGAAAAGCCCATGAGGGTATTTCAGGCATGGAAAGCCAAGACACTCTGGCAAAAAAAAAAATCCCAAAACCTAAATGAAAGATCTCTGTGAGTGAGATCCCAGTGGAAAGAACAGGTCATCAAAGAAGGAGGTACCTTTCTCTGAAGGGAGGAGAGAACTTCCACTTTGACCATGGCCTTGTCTAAAAATGATCAGAGTCAGTGAACTCAGGGGGCTTCCATAGCCTTGGAAACTCATGACAAGAGCCTAGGGTGATTACTGATGCCATAAACAAGAGTGTCAATTTGTTAAGTCAACAACAGGAGTCACTGTGCACTTACTCCTCATGTAGGATCTTTGTCCTTAATGTGCTGTACATTGAGATCTAATGCTATAACTAGTACTCAAACAGTATTTTTCACTTTATGTTTCTGTGTGGGAGCAAACTGTTGAAATCTTTACTTAATGTATGCTAAACTGATCTTCTGTACATAAAGAGAATCGAAAATGAATCTTGATATGAATAGAAGGGGAGAGGGAGTGGATAAGGGGAGGGTTGCGGGTTGGAGGGACGTTATGGGGGGGAAGCCATTGTAATCAATATTCTGTACTTTGGAAATTTATATTCATTAAATAAAAGATAAAAGGCTCCAAAAAAAGTGAAGTAATATATTCTCGAATAATCTATGAGTGAAAGAACTCAGACTGTAAATTAGAAAACATGTCAAACAAATTACCCCACAGCTGTGACATTTGTGGTGGATTAGTGGTAGTCAATTTTTTTTTCATCCTCACCATTGAGGTGGAATTTAATGCATCTAGAATGTGGGCTGGATTTAGCAACTTGCTTGAACAGAACATGGCTTATTCAAACACTGAAAAAGTCATTACAGACAAAGGACAGTACCCCAGTTGGAAACATGCTAACCTTAGATTGACTATGTTTATAAATAACTAACAATCATCTTATTACGTCATTAAATGAACCCATAATTGTGAATGTACAATGTTAAGAATAAACAGAGAAAATGAAACTCAAACAATAATTTATTTGAAATAGCTTAAATATATATTGCATGAATCACAAAAAAGAATTATGTAAAATTGAATGCTTTTGTATTTAAAAAGGCATCCAACATAGTTAAAAGGGAACCTTTTTGATAGAAAACATCTGCAAATTATATTTCATAACAGATTAATACTGGGAACACATGGTGTATAAGAAACTCTTAGAACTCAAAAGCAATAAACAATTAAAGTTGGCAAAGGGTTAAATAAACAAAAAGATATACACAAGGCTAATTGGTACATGAAAAAATTCAACATTATTGATCATTAAATAAATGCAAAGGACAACCATGATGAAATACAACTTTGTATCCATTATAATGTCAATTACAAAAAAAAAAAAAAATGAGCGTTGGCAGGGCCAGAGACACTAAAACTCAAATGCACTGCTGGTCTGAATGAACAATGATGGAACCAATATAGAAGAGAGTACTGAGGGGCAGCATTTAGTGATGGCCTTCTCACTGACAAAGTCCACAGGCAGCACAGGGCATCACACAGCAACAGACAGGGAGCACACAGGTGTCTTTCTGTTCTCAGTCTTCTTTTTGCATTCAGTCAGTCCTTGGGGTCTACCCTGAGGACTTCATCTAATCCTTCTCATCTCCTAGAAGTTCCACCTCTAAACACCACTTTCAGAATTAAGCTTCCACCCTTTTAATATCTCAAATTGGGAATTATACCCAAATAATATTAAAATATTCATAGCAACATACAACAGAAGATGACTGAGCTTTGAAAGGAAAATTCTGAAAAATGGTAAACAACATGGCTCAATCTTGAAGACATAATGCTAACAAGAAATATGCCAGTAACAAGAGGAAAAACTCTGGGTGGTTCAATGGAAAGTTGCAGTGAATGACAGTGTTTGTCATGGAAAGGAATAGGGATTTAATGTTCAACAAACGTTTTCACCTGATTGAGATAAAAAAATTTTGTATACACAGGCCATCACTGTGGCATAGTAGTAGGTTAAGTCCCCACCTATGGCACTGGCATCCCAGATGTGTACTGGTTCAAGTTCTGGCTGCTCCACTTCTGATCCAGTTCCTTGCCAATGGCATGGGAAAGCAGAAGATGGCCCAAGTGCTTGGGCCCCTCACCAGTGGGGGACCTGGAAGAAGCTCCTGGCTCCTGGCTTCGGACTGTCCCAGCTCCAGTGGTAGCAACTATTTGAAGAGTGAACCAGCAGATGGAAGACCTTTCTGTCTCTCCCGCTTGTCTATTAACTCTACCTCTCAAATAAATTTTAAAAAGAAAAAGAAAAAGAAAAAAGGATGACAGTGCATTATGTCTTTTTGTCAGTTTGCTCCATTCACCAACAACTTAAAAAATTCTGTATATAGATGGTAGTAATGGGTGCACAGTAATGTGAATATGCTTAATGCCACTGAGAGATATATGTTCAAAGGTTCAGTGTTATATTGCACATTTTGTCACAATATCACTTATTTTTTAAATTTATTTATTTATTATTTTGACAGGCAGAACTAGACAGTGAGAGAGACAGAGAGAAAGGTCTTCCTTCCATTGGCTTACCCTAGAAATGGCTGCTATGGCCAGCGTGCTGTGCCAATCCTAAGCCAGGAGCCAGGTGCTTCCTCCTGGTCTCCCATGCAGGTGCAGGGCCCAAGGACCTGGGCCATCCTCCACTGCCTTCCTGGGCCACAGCAGAGAGCTGGACTGAAAGAGGAGCAACCAGGACAGAACCAGTGTCCCAACTGGGACTAGAACCCGGAGTGCCAGAGCCACAGGCGGAGGATTAGCCTAGTGAGCCATGGCGCCTGCAATATCACTTATTTTTAAACATGTACCAGAGTCCTCTTCCATAATCATTGCCATGATTTATGCATATGCTGATTTTTTATGACTCATTTGAAGCGTCTATAGGAAATAACAGGATACAACAATTAAGAGTTTGAAAGCCTGGCAAATTATTTTTAGGAGATTCAGGTGAGTCAAGAGGTATGTTTTTAACATTTTTTATTCATTTTCATTTTATAAGAAAGGTAGAGAAAGAAAGGAGAGAGGGAGGGGAAGGGAGAAAGGGAGGAGGGCGGGAGACGGAAGGAGAAAAAAAAAAGATCTTCCATCTCTGGTTCCATCCCCAATTGCCCCCAATAAACAGGTACCTGGAATTCAATCTGGGTCTCACATGTGGATGGCAGGCACTGAAGTACTTTGATCTATCATCTGTCTCCCAGGATACACATTAGCAGAAAGAACGGGGCCAGTCTTGTGATATAGTCAGTTAAGCCACTGCTTATGACACTGGCCACCCTACTTCTGATCCGGCTTCCCACTACTGTGCCTGGGAAGGCAGCAGAAGATGGCCCCAAACCTGGGCTTCTGCCACCCATGTGGGAGAGAGACTAGGATGGAGTTTCCTGGCTCCTGGCTTCAGACTCCACATTTTTGGCTACTTGGGGAGTTAGAGAGCAGATGGAATACCTCTCTCTGTACCTTTCCCTCTCGTTGTGTTGCTCTTTCAAAAAAATAAACAAATCTTTAAAAAAAAAAGCATTGCAGAGTGGGATGCATGGGGAAGCACATGAACTACTTGAATGAGTGATGGTAAGAAGAAAGTAGGGGCCGGTGCTGTGGCGTAGCGGGTAAATTCACCACCTGCAGTGCCAGCATCCCACACGGGTGCCATGTTCTGGCTGCTCCACTTCCGATCCAGCTCTCCGCTATGACTTAGGAAAGCAGTAGAAGATGCCTAAGTCCTTGGTCCTCTGCACCCATGTGGGAGACCTCAAAGAAGCTAATGGCTCCTGGCTTTGGATCGGTGCAGCTCTGGCAGTTGAGGTTATCTGGGGAGTGAGCCAGTGCATGGGAGACCTCTCTCTCTCTCTCTCTCTCTCTCTCTCTCTCTCTCTGCCTTTCCTTCTCTCTCTTTGCAACTCTGACTTTAAAATAAATAAATAAATCTTTTTTTTTAAAAAAAGAAGAAAGTAGAAGTGTACAAGGAGAAAGAAAAGAAACCAACACGGAGGTCATGATAGAAACAAAGAATTTTCTTTTTTTAAACTTTTATTTAATGAATATAAATTTCCAAAGTACAGCTTATGGATTACAATGGCTCCCCCCCCTATAAATTCCCTCCCACTTGCAACCCTCCCCTTTCCCGCTCCCTCTCCCCTCCATTCACATCAAGATTCATTTTCAATTCTTTTTATATACAGAAGAACAGTTTAGCATATATTAAAGATTTCAACAGTTTGCACCCACATAGAAACACAAAGTGAAATATACTGTTTGAGTACTAGTTATAGCATTAAATCACAATGTACAGCACATTAAGGACAGAGATCCTACATGAGGAGTAAGTGCACAGTGACTCCTGTTGTTGACTAAACAAATTGACACTCTTGTGTATGGCGTCAGTAATCACCCTAGACTCTTGTCATGAGTTGCCAAGGCTATGGAAGCCTTTTGAGTTCACCGACTCTGATCATATTTAGACAAGGTCTTAGTCAAAGTGGAAGTTCTCTCCTCCCTTCAGAGAAAGGTACCTCCTTCTTTGATGACCTGTTCTTTCCACTGGGATCTCACTCACAGAGATCTTTCATTTAGGTAATTTTTTTTTTGGCCAGAGTGTCTTGGCTTTCCATGCCTGAAATACCCTCATGGGCTTTTCAGCCAGATCCGCATGCCTTAAGGGCTGATTATGAGGCCAAAGTGCTGTTTAGGACATTTGCCATTCTATGAGTCTGTTGTGTATCTTGCTTCCCATGTTGGATCGTTCTCTCCCTTTTTTATTCTATCAGTTAGTATTTGCAGACACTATTCTTGTTTATGTGATCCCTCTGGCTCTTAGTCCTATCACTATGATCAATTGTGAACAGAAATTGATCACTGGGACTAGTGAGATGGCATTGGTACATGCCACCTTGATGGGATTGAATTGGAATCCCCTGGTATGTTTCTAACTCTACCGTTTGGGGCAAGTCAGCTTGAGCATGTCCCAAATTGTACATCTCTTCCCTCTCTTATTCCCACTCTTATATTTAACAGGGATCACATTTCAGTTAAATTTCAACACTTAAGAATAACTGTGTATTGGGGAAGAGGCAAGATGGCGGAATAGGAAGGGAGCACACTGATAGTCCGGGGAGAGATAGTTTAATAAAAGTGGAGATACTGCAGATTCAAGGAAGAGTAGGGGAGGAAACAGCAGAAGAAACTCTTCCGGAAAGCATGATTCACAGCGGACCTGCGTGGAGAGCATGCGAGACCACAGTTCGGGACACCAGCGGCAGACTCAACACACCAGCGCTGGAACGCGAGGTGAGCCGAACCTCAATAGCCCGAGACACCGGCAGGCAAGCGGAGAGAGGAGACTAGAGGGAACGACCCCTGGGGGGGGGGGAGTTCACCAGGCTAACTGGAAGAGAGAGAGAGAGAAAAAAAAAAGGTGAGTGGTACGGACACGGGTTTCTCTCTCTCCGCTCACCTCTCAAGGGCGAGCAAGACAAAGAGCAGGCGCCATCTTGGACATACGTCATAAGCAGAGTGACCTCAGGTCTGCACTGGCCCTGAGCCTAGCAGAAAAACCTGACTCTGGGCGGGGCGAATTAACAGGAGATTAGGACCTATAAATTTGTGGTGCTACTGAACTGAGACTGTGAAAAAAGAGACGGTGGGGGAGAGAACTCACAGAATTCACGTGAGCACTCTCCATAGATGCTAAAATTACATAACTTTGGCAACCCAGTGGGAAGCTGAAGGAGACTTTGAGCCCACTCTGAGGGCCGAACAGATTCCCTGTATGGTCCTTGGGAAAGAGCTTCTGATCTCTGGCTCCTGTGGGTATATCATTTACCTGCTAACTACCTCCAACTTCGTTCAGCTGTGCGGAATTACTTCCCTTTTGAATCAAAAAAAGAAAGAGGGAGAGAGAGAGGTTTACCACGCCTAACCTGGGAGTGTCACCTTTGGCACACCAAACAGAGCTCTCAGGCCACACCCATCTCAAGCCCTAAGGCTCCATCAAAAACAGATAGTCCACTTAATCTAGAGTCATAGTATAACAAGAAAAAGCACCACAGTGAAGAAACCAAATATCTCCAATATGACAAATAACAAACGCAAAAACTGAGGTAATATAAACAAGGAAGTCACCATGACGCCCTCAAATGAAAAAGACACCCCAATTCAAGATTATGAAGATGATGACATAGAAGAAATGCAAGAAGCAGATCTCAAAAAATTGATAAGAACATTAAGAAGTTCTCAAAAACAAATTCTTGAACTACAGAAATCCTTAATGGACAAGATAGAAAATCTCTCTCGTGAAAATGAAATATTAAGGAGGAATCACAATGAAACAAAACAACTAGTACAACAGGAAACTGTGATAGTGACTGAAGTGAAGAATTCAATAGATCAAATGAAAAACACAATAGAGAGCCTTACGAACAGAATGGGTGAAGCAGAAGAGAGAATATCGGACTTAGAAGACAGAGAACAGGAAAGGATACAGTCAGACCAAAGAAAAGAAGAGGAAATTAGAAATCTAAAATATATTGTCGGGAATATTCAGGATACTATTAAAAAACCCAACATTCGGGTTCTAGGGGTTCCTGAAGGCATGGAGAGGGAGAAATGATTAGAAGGCCTTTTTAGTGAGATATGAGCAGAAAATTTCCCAGGTTTGGAGAAGGACAGAGAAATCCTAGTACAGGAATCTCACAGAACCCCTAATAAACACGACCAAAAGAGATCCTCACCAGGACACATTGTAATTAAACTCTCCACAGTGAAACATAAAGAAAAGATCCTAAAATGTACAAGAGAGAAACGTCAGATTACTCTCAGAGGATCTCCAATCAGACTCACAGCTGACTTCTCATCAGAAACTCGACAAGCTAGGAGGGAATGGCGAGATATAGCCCAGGTACTAAGAGAGAAAAACTGCCAGCCCAGAATATTATATCCTGCAAAGCTATCATTTGTGAATGAAGGTGAAATAAAGACTTTTCATAGCAAACAGAAATTGAAAGAATTTGTTGCCACTCGTCCAGCCCTGCAAAAGATGCTTAAAGATGTGTTACACACAGAAACACAGAAACACGGTCATCAATATGAAAGAAGGTAAAGGAAGGAAAGCTCACAGCAAAAGATCACAGGGAATTCAAAGCATATATTAGAACTTGTCTTTGGCAAATGGCATGGCAAAGTTACCACTTATCATTAGTCACATTGAACGTGAATGGCCTGAACTGTCCAGTTAAAAGACTCCGATTGGCTGATTGGATTAAGGAACAAAACCCATCTATTTGCTGCTTACAAGAAACACATCTTTCCAACAAAGATGCATACAGACTGAAAGTGAAAGGCTGGAAAAAGATATACCATGCCAACAGAAATGAAATAAGAGCGGGCGTAGCCATCTTAATATCGGACAACATAAACTTTACCACAAAAACTGTTAAGAGAGACAAAGAGGGGCACTATATAATGATTAAGGGATCAATACAACAAGAAGATATAACAATTATCAATGTATATGCACCTAACTACAGGGCACCAGTTTATCTAAAAGATTTGTTAACGGACTTAAAGGGAGACTTAGACCCCAATACAATAGTACTGGGGGACTTCAATACTCCACTCTCAGAAATAGACAGATCAACAGGACAGAAGATCAACAAGGAGACAGTAGATTTAAACGACACTATAGCCCAAATGGATCTAACAGATATCTACAGAACTTTCAATCCTACAGCTAAAGATTTTACATTCTTCTCAGCAGTACATGGAACCTTCTCTAGGAATGACCACATACTAGGCCATAAAGCAAGTCTCAGCAAATTCAAAAGAATTAGAATCATACCAGGCAGCTTCTCAGACCATAAAGGAATGAAGTTGAAAATTAGCAACTCGGGAATCCCTAGAGCATACGCAAACACATGGAGATTGAACAACATGCTCCTGAATGAACAATGAGTCATAGAAGAAATCAAAAGAGAAATCAAAAACTTTCTGGAAGTAAATGAGGATAACAGCACAACATACCAAAGCTTATGGGATGCAACAAAAGCAGTGTTAAGAGGAAAGTTTATATCAATAGGTGCCTACATCAAGAAATTGGAAAGACACCAAATAGATGAGCTTTCAATTCACCTCAAGGATCTAGAAAACCTACAGCAAACCAGACCCAAATCTAGTAGGAGAAGAGAAATAATTAAAATCAGGGAAGAAATCAACAGGATTGAATCAAGAAAAACATTACAAAAAATCAGCCAAACGAGGAGCTGGTTTTTTGAAAAAATAAACAAAATTGACACCCCATTGGCCCAACTAACTAAAAAAAGAAGAGAAAAGACCCAAATCAATAAAATCAGAGATGAAAAAGGAAACGTAACAACAGACACCACAGAAATAAAAAGAATCATCAGAAATTACTACAAGGACCTGTATGCCAGCAAACAGGAAAACCTATCAGAAATGGATAGATTCCTGGACTCATGCAACCTACCTAAATTGAACCAGGAAGACATCGAAAATCTAAACAGACCCATAACTGAGACAGAAATTGAAACAGTAATAAAGGCCCTCCCAACAAAGAAAAGCCCAGGACCAGATGGAATCACTGCTGAATTCTACCAGACATTTAAAGAAGAACTAACTTCAATTCTTCTCAAATTATTCAGAACAATCGAAGAAGAGGGAATCCTCCCAAATTCTTTCTAAGAAGCCAGCATCACCTTAATTCCTAAGCAGGAAAAAGATGCAGCACTGAAAGAGAATTACAGACCAATATCCTTGATGAACATAGATGCAAAAATCCTCAATAAAATTCTGGCCAATGGAATGCAACAACACATCAGAAAGATCATCCACCCAGACCAAGTGGGATTTATCCCTGGTATGCAGGGATGGTTTAATGTGTGCAAGACAATCAATGTGATACACCACATTAACAGACTGCAGAAGAAAAACCATATGATTATTTCAATAGATGCAGAGAAAGCATCTGATAAAATACAACACCCGTTCATGATGAAAACTCTAAGCAAACTGGGTTTGGAAGGAACATTCCTCAATACAATCTAAGCAATCTATGAAAAACCCACAGCCAACATCCTATTGAATGGGGAAAAGTTGGAAGCATTTCCACTGAGATCTGGTACCAGACAGGGAGGCCCACTCTCACCACTGCTATTCAATATAGTTCTGGAAGTTTTAGCCAGAGCTATGAGGCAAGAAAAAGAAATTAAAGGAATACAAATTGCGAAGGAAGAACTCAAACAATCCCTCTTTGCAGATGACATGATTCTTTATTTAGGGGACCCAAAGAACTCTACTAAGAGACTATTGGAACTCATAGAAGAGTTTGGCAAAGTAGCAGGGTATAAAATCAATGCACAAAAATCAACAGCCTTTGTATATACAAGCAATTCCACGGCTGAGAAAGAACTGCTAAGATCAATCCCATTCACAATAGCTACAAAAACAATCAAATACCTTGGAATAAACTTAACCAAGGACGTTAAAGACCTCTACAATGAAAATTACAAAACCTTAAAGAAAGAAATAGAAGAGGATATCAAGAAATGGAAAAATCTTCCATGCTCATGGATTGGAAGAATCAATATCATCAAAATGTCCATTCTCCAAAAAGCAATTTATAGATTCAATGCAATACCAATCAAGATACCGAAGACCTTCTTCTCAGATCTGGAAAAAATGATGCTGAAATTCATATGGAGGCACAAGAGACCTCGAATAGCTAAAGCAATCTTGTACAACAAAAACAAAGCCGGAGGCATCACAATACCAGATTTCAGGACATAATACAGGGCAGTTGTAATCAAAACAGCATGGTACTGGTACAGAAACAGATGGATAGACCAATGGGACAGAATTGAAACACCAGAAATCAACCCAAACATATACAGCCAACTTATATTTGATCAAGGATCTAAAACTAATTCCTGGAGCAAGGACAGTCTATTCAATAAATGGTGCTGGGAAAATTGGATTTCCACGTGCAGAATCATGAAGCAAGACCCCTACCTTACACCTTACACCAAAATCCACTCTGCATGGATTAAAGACCTAAATCTACGACCTGACACCATCAAATTATTAGAGAACATTGGAGAAACCCTGCAAGATATTGGCACAGGGAAAGAATTTCTGGAAAAGACCCGGGAGGTACAGGCCGTCAAAGCCAAAATCAACTATTGGGATTGCATTCTATTGAGAAGTTTCTGTACGGCAAACCACACAGTCAGGAGAGTGAAGAGACAACCGACAGAATGGGCAAAAATATTTGCAAGCTATGCAGCAGATAAAGGGTTCATAACCAGAATCTACGAAGAGATCAAGAGACTCCACGACGACCAAACCGACAACCCCACTTAAGAGATGGGCCAAGGACCTCAATAGACATTTTTCAACAGACGAGATCCCACATGGCCAACAGGGCACATGAGAAGATGTACACGGTCATTAGTCAATCACGGAAATGCACATCAAGACCACATTGAGGTTTCACCCTCACCCCCGGTTAGAGTGGGCTCACATGCGGAAATCTAACCAGCAACAGATGCTTGTCCAGGATGTGGGGGAAAACGGGACACTAACCCAACTGTTGGTTGGGAATGCAAACTGGTTCAGGCCACTATGGGAGCTCAGGCCTGGAGAGTCCTCC